TGTCACATTTGCAAACTCCTTGAATAATTATTAAAATCTGTCACTCTCCTTATCGCGATCTGTGGGCGCACAGAAAATCAGTTCTCAAGACTCAAAAGTACGTGCATTCCGTCATCTGTCATCGCGTTATAAGCGCGGAACCTGCGGGAAGTATAATTATTATTAATAGCCGCAATCCTGCGCCTGAAATTCAAGACCTGCTCTGTGTTCTCTGCTAATAACCCGACTGTGAATGATGCGAGCGGCGTTATGTTGTCAGTGAGAAGCTGCAGCCGTGGCGGGGAGGATTTTTGGTGTGCTGGTGTTCTGACAAATAATGCTAGCTATCAGATTATGCTACCAACAAATCGTCAGAACACCGGCAGAACAACAACAATGTGCTACATGTTTCTTTTCCCCTCATTTTTTCCAATTGACGGAAATCCGTCGTAGCCACGGAAAAATTTAATCCCCGAGTAGTATTACATCATACTGCACCACAGTAATATATTTCTGATAATTTCATTAAGCTAACCCGAATTTATATTTTGTCGGGTTGCCATGAGGAACTTGTTTCTGTAGGTATATGTAAATGATATGAAGATAGTTTACGCAATGCGTAAAAAGACAGTATAAGTCATTATATTTAATTATGGAAGCACTAGAAGCAACAAATGGCTCGTTTATAATGGATTTTAATGTTTTTGTCTCGTCACTCCGGCCGGACAGGGCATCACAGCATGGTAAGGGGCGTAATATTTCCGTCACACGCTTGAGGTATTCGGCCAATCACAACGCACTGGATAGCTGGCCAATCAGAGCACACCTCACTTTTCAGACTGATGAGCTTTGTAAAAATCGACGCGTTTCAGAAAGGCGGGGCCTAGAGGAGAAACAATAATGTACAGTATGTGGAAAATAATGTGTTTTTTTAACCTTAAACCGCATAAACACATTTCATTACACCAAATACACAAAATAATGTTCGTTTTAGCAACATCATACGACCCCTTTAAAAATGACAAGCTACATCTTTTTGCCTTTAACGCTTGTTGTCTTGGCATTTCCATCAAGAAAGAAGGACAGAAATATTTCAACGCCATTTACCTCAGTTCCTTACATCCTAAACAACTATAGCCTACAAGCAGCCTTTAAGTTGTACACTACAGGATAAGAAGTATAAAAAGCTCTTAGCCATAAAAGCATTTCTATGAAAAATTCAATTGTTATGAGTCCATATGGATTTATACATCAATTTTCTGAATATTCTACAAATTCTGTGAAAATTTGTGGAGCATTCTGCAGATTTCCATATATTACTGCTGCAGTTTATAGCTTGTATACTGTGTTTATTATGCCAATGTTCTGTATACATAAAATACATGGATGATTTCCTACATTTTCCAAAATGAGCAGTACACTGTTTACAGTGCAGAATAAAGCACTCCAATGTAAAGAATGAACCAGAAGAAGAAATTCCAACTGCAATTTTTTTTACATATTTGTGTCTTGTCTGGACTCATTATTGAACTGCCAAATAAATGTTTGGACATTTTTTTTTATTTTAGATGATAAATGGATGCGATGTAATGATGCCATGTCACAAATGTATTTGGGTCACCTAACAACAGCTCTAATATTGTTAAATAAATTAAATGTTTACTGTGGGAAAAATGCCTAGCATCTCACTATGAGAAATTCTAACTCAGTTTGTACACTGGTAGCCTGTTGAAATGTAACAATGTCTAAATATGTCAATATCTATCAAATCAAATAGGCTATATCATTTTTAAAAAGATTTGACAAATATGTTGTGATTAAAAAAATTTCACAACAATCAGTACAATTTGCGATTAACTAATTTAATCCCACTGGTTGTGATCAAAATTTTATTTTGAGTCAAAGGTAAAAAAGTAGTTGTTGATATACTTTACACATAGTTGTCAACTGTATATGAAAGTGCAGATTGTCTTGATTTCATGTGATTTTTTTACATGGCTGGTGTAAATTCTAATTACTACAACAGTTTTAATTCAAGTTTGCAAGCAAGCATGTGAAACATGTCATAATACACAGAGAATTTTTGAAACAAAATATTCAAAGGGTCTATTATTAATGTAGTGTAAGATTGCACATATAAAACTATAAACATGCCATTAGTCAAATTTGTGGACAGCGGGGAAGCCCAGAAACTGTTTAAAAATGTAATAACATTCAGTATTTATTAATAACAACATATTGAGTCACAGTATCAATTTAGATTTAAAAGTACTTTTACATCAAATTAAACAAACAAAAAAAATCGTTACTGTCTGTCATTTTCTCTTAGGGCCCATTAACCAACCAAGAAGTTTGATGAACTGTGACCAGCATCACTAACTTATTTAAAACTTTAGAAGATACATTTATTTAACTGGTCTATCTATTCTAAGGAGCTGTGGAAATACTGGGGTTAAATGGATTAATATTTGCATAATGATCTCCATAAACCGTTGTATCATTTATTTAGAATGAAGGAAAACACTTCGATTTTCAGTGCAGTTAGAAAGTGGATGTAACAACTAAGATGTGAAGTGATGCATGGCACATCATTTTATATGTTGAAGTGTGAACTTCATCAGCATGACCGTAATCTCAAGCACATCTTTGTCACAGACAGCGTTGATTTCTCTCTACTCATTTTCCTCAACTGCTATATTAGCCAAACTTTTGACCAGGAATTCATTACTTCACAATCACTCTACAGATGTACAAACTTTTTAAAAACATCAAACAAACTAGCAACACTCAACAACTAAGTCGTCCATCTGCCAATGATTAAAGTCGGTTATTTAAATGAAGTTGACATTCACCAACTTTGTGCAACGCGGACACACACAATGCACATTCAACTAAAGGAAGTGCCTTGTCAATCGACTCAACACGATAATTATGGCCGTGCATTTCTGGATGCACTCCGACTATCCCGCTAGCGAACACGTCTACAAATGTCACTCAAAGTCATTCACTCATAAGCCATGTTATTTATCCACATCAACAAAAATAAAGCAAGTCGCCCCCACCCACGCTGGATGTAATCAAACGATTAAAAAACAAAGAACTCAACGCAGGAGCACACTACTCAAAAAAAGTGACCGTTATAGTTGAATTAAATGCCATTATGTCTTAATTAATACCGCTGTTTTAAATAAGCGCAGTTTGGAGAAATGTACCTCTTTTTTCTCTTTAGACTGGCAGGTCGGTGACGGCAGCCATGACAGTTCCATCCGGGTTCCGCTCCCTTCACTGTGCGTGAGGCAGGAACTCAGAGCGGATGAATATGGATTACCTGAAAGACTCATTAGGTCGTCTTTACCAACAAATATTTCGCTTTAAACCTCGAAACAAAGTGTCTAAATGGAATACAATACTCCTTTGATTAATTAATGAATAGAACGCCTTGTTTAAATTAAAGTCCATACAGTTCTCGCTCTGTATTAGAAGCAGTTAAACCCATTCTTAAAAGTGGCCATGCATACTGCTGTTTTGTGGACTCTAGGGACGCCATGACTCACTCTAGATCATGGCGCGCCATCTTGACATACAATATCATTACTCTAACGATGGATAGTTAAAATAATGTTTACTGGGTTATAAATACCGGCGCACTGACCTGCTGCAAATAGATGAATGGATTTTTGTACTATTGTGATGTTGATGATGATGATGACAATACTCTTCTATATTATCTAGCAGATTTATGTAACAAATGCACACAACTCTAATTTCCAGAACAAATAAGTGACTAAAAAAATTACATATTATTACAATAAATGTTAAAACAATTACATTTAAATGCCTTTACATTTTATTCCATAACATGACTAATTTACACACTAATATAAAATTTTACACAAACAAACATGCATTTCCAATGACGTGAACTGAAAAAATCTGACAAAAATTTTCCTTATTGCAACTTGCGGCTTTATCATATTTTATTAGATACTTTTCCATGATAGTTATCTAAAAGATTTATGTAACAAATGCTCAGAACTCAGGGTAATTATTTCCGAAACAAATAAATGAATAGGCTACTACAATGAATGTTAATGCAAATATATCTATTCATAAGACTTTTATATTTTGTTCCGCAATATATATATATTTTAATGTAAGTAGCTAAATAACTATCACAATGATGTGAGTTCACAAATCAGACAAACATTGTCCTTGCATTTCAACTTATAACTTACAACTCCAAAATTCATATTTATTAACTTCAGATCTAGAATAAATGATGACCAGAGTCAGAAATTCACCAGCCCAGAAGGTCACCAAAATGGCAAAACTGCCTTAAATATTTAAAATGCTAGTTTGATATATTTCAGAAATAGAGTGAAGTGCCTGCTTGCTATAACTGTATTGTTACTGTATTATTGTATTTTTAATATTCTAAATTCAATAAAAGTTATCATAAACTTTGTAAGGTATGTATAATCACAGTGATTTATTTACAAAAAAAGACATTTAAAATGTATGTAATATACTGAAAAATATGGAACATACCTCCAAATATATTTCTTGTAAAAGTAGTAAGTAAATAATATTACTGTCAACAGTCTTGCAAATTGTCTTGACGTGTTTGCAAATTGATCAAGTGTTTGTTATGAACAACAAAAGAGGATGAATGAATGAAGTGTAAATTAAGGTGTGGCATGTGTGACTTGCCCATTAGAGATCATAGAGCCCACTGACTTCAAATTTCACATTTGAGATATTACTATTGTTTGTCATTGTAGGCCATAATTACGCTAAGATCCAGAAAGATGACCAAGATCAGAAATTCACCAGGCCTTGAGGCAGTAAGGTGACCAAATGTGACAAAAATGACACGCCTACTGAAAACGTTAGGGATTTGATATATTTCATAATATTTTGTTCATAATATTCATTTGTCACTACTAAATGCATGTTATGTTTAGTACAGTTAATACAATTCAAGTATATGGAACACATTATGTGTTATTTGTTAGAAATCATATGTCCATATTAAGGTAGACATGAAAATCAATTCCAAAAGACAAATATTGCCCCTAAGTTAGCTTAGCCTATTCTGTACCAACAATACTGACTTTGGTCTTAGAGCAGCAGATTTATCTGTACATTAGCCATAATTTAAAAGATTTAATAGAAGAGCTACGCTTTATTGTTGTATTAATTCTTTAAATAAGTAATTCAGTGCTGCTTTTTTTTTTAAGTGTTTTCATGTTCTAATAACTTGGGAAATATGGTATGGGGAAATATAATCACATTAATATTATTATAATTGTCAGGGTAAAAATCGTATAGACCTATAGGCATCTGTGACTGGGGCCTATTCATATTAATAAAGGAGTATTTACAGCTGTGAAAGTGTATGAGTTGGCTCCATAGGAGCAATTGTATAAATTGATTGGGGCATATCAATCAAAGAGGTGTAAACACATTCATCAAACCTATTCACACCTACAACAAAAACAATCTTTTACTTTGATTATCACAAAATGTTGAAATTTAAATCTTTCTATTTCTTGTATGATATTAAGAATATACAGTATATGTACCTTTTTATGGTTGAGAGAATGTTCCAACACAAAACAATGTTTTAGTCCTAAACTAGCTACTTTTAGGATCACACCGTTTAATACAAACTGTGATGAGAAACAGTGTGGCATGATCATAAATAGCTGTACTAATATTAAGTATTGTAACAATTCTTCTTTTGAAATACAGTTTTAAAACGTTTTTATTAAAACAACATTGTGGTTATACAAAACTTCAATACTTGAAATTAGTATATACACATAAAATAAAAAAATACATAGGATTTGTATATTATTTTTTCTTTAAATGTATATCCTGCAACAATACATAATTATAATGTATATTGTTATTGATAATAATACATACACATAATAATATAGGTAGAGAGAGTAAAATATTTGCTATGTACATATTTTATTATTGTTTAAATATAATTACATTTTTGATATTTTAAATTAAATTAAATTCATCATAAACTTTGCAAGCTGAATGTAAAATGTATTTACAGACTTTAAATTCATTTAAATTTAAAAATAAATAAATACATGCATAAATAAATAAATACATACATAAATAAATGTAATTAACTGTAATGTAATGTAAAGTAATGTAGGCTATGTAATATCCTAATAAAGATATGGTCATGTACCTGCAAATGTATTTCTTTTTCAAAATTAGTAAGCCGTAATAGGCTACTTAAATCATAAGCCATATTTCTATAAACAATCTTACAAATTGTCTTGACATGTTTGCAAATTGATCAAGTGTTTGTGATGAACAATAAAAGATGATGGATGAATGAAGTGTAAATTAAGGTGTGGCAGGAATGAAGGTGTGACTTGCCCATTAGAGATCACAGAGCCCACTTAAGCTTTTAAGTGTACAAGTGTTAGGACAGCCCCTTTCTGGACCTTTAGGTGGGCAGGTATAAATAGTGGCAACCTTCAGTTGTTGGTCAGAGCACAAGGCGCAGTAACAAAGGATTCAGCTTGACCTATTAATTCTTACATTCTACAATCAAAAATCCTTGAAAGACATGTGGACTGACTGCATTGGTAAGAATTCCTTTAAAAAAAAAAGTATTTATTTTAAGTAACTTTTGTGAAATATTATAATAAATATTTAGATATTTTCAAGATATTTTAAGAATTTATTTTCTGGAATATTTATATTATTTATATCCACTTGATGCATTTGCAGACATGTCAAGACAATTAATAATGACATATATTTTTACTCTTGCAGCTCAAGATGGAAACTCACAGGCCAGTAAGATTGCAGGCCGCAGGAAGAGAACCAGTTTCACCAAAGAGCACTTGGAACTTCTAAAAATGGCTTTCAGCGTGGATCCTTACCCTGGTATTAGTGTCAGGGAAAGTCTATCTCAAGCCACAGGCCTTCCAGAGTCACGTATTCAGGTATGTCAACATCAATATAGAAAACAAACTGTTTTCATACATTTCAAAAAGTATAAAAATGTTAATCCATCAACATGCTAACATAACGGTGTTTTGTTTTTCCAGGTGTGGTTCCAGAACAAGAGGGCCAGAACCCTAAAGAACAGAGCCACTTGGACCTCACCACAGCTGGATAGTACCTCGCCTCTGACCAGCCCTTTTCTACCCCCTCACATGGCTAGTGTTGGGGCCAATGGCCAACAGAGAGGCATTCAAGTGGCGTCCTTCAACATTCAGATGGCTCAAACATCTCCACAGCACTTTACCTTTCCTCCAACTGACTACAGCACACCTGCCATTAAGCCACGGCAAAACAGGCTGATGGGAACCAGCTCTTGTTCTCCCTCCCTTCCCTCTGATCTGCAAGCTGTGGCAGACAGCTGGAGCTCTGGAGGAAGCACACAGTCCTCTCCTGAGTCTACATGGAATCGACCAGAGCAGAGTTTTGGGAATTCCTACAAGGATGAGAGTCATTTCTTTCTCTACCCACCACCTCCTTACCCTCATGGAAGTGCCAAAGTTGGGTGTGTTAGTGGCCTGGAGTCACTTCCCACCTCTCCTGCCTCTTCTGATTCTGCATTTTGGGACATGGGACTGGAAAACTGCTCTCCCTCTGTGCCATACACCGACTGTGGAAGCCCATGGGACATGCTCGCTGAGGAGCAGCCTGTGGCCCCGCTTCCAGATCTGTCCTCTCAGTATCTGGAGGATGTCCTTGGGGAAATGGAGCCAGCCTGGTGGAACTTCAATGGCCAGATGGATCTACAGTAATCTTGCAAACATCCATAACCTAAGGAGACAAAGACTGTTTTAACATTGGGTTTAACTTGAGTGGTAGGATTCTTTCTTTTGGACTGTATTATATAGGAAGCATGGTATTGTGCAAGTGCCGGTTACAGAGCAATATCAGATGTCCACATCAGACTATTTATTTATATAATGGACTTTATTTATTTATATTTTCTACCAAGGAGTAGATTGGAAACAGTAGCCTATGGTTGCACCAGAAAGTAATTGAGAACTTATTTATTCTTTATGCTCTTTTAAGGTATTGCAGTGCAGTTGGGATATTTATTCTACATTAAACTATGCTCACACAACATATACTGTCACTTTGTAATATAATGCATATTTATTTTAAATAAAATGTTAAAATGTATGAATTTGTGTCGTCTGAATTGCTTATACATTTAATTTTATTTATGTATTTATTATTTTCAGATATTACATAAAATAAGAATGTAATCTGAGGCATTGAGAGTTGAAAGTCAAC